TAAAGCGATGCCCTGGAAGCCCAGACCCACGGTGGGGGCATGTGTTCTGTTGACTTAGAGATGAAAACGTTTGCTGTTTTCTTAGTGATCCGATTGATTAGAAAGTAACCCAGGACAAAACAGTCAAGTTTTAAAACACTAAAAAGAATTGGGGAGGGGTTTTACTTAAAGAAATATTAACAGTGCTATATGAGCAGAGAGATTTCTGTAGCATTGCACTTTATAAAATTTAGAATAACTTTCTAGTAAAAGATGCTGGCAGTGCTTTTTGCTTTTTATAAATGTTTTTGGGTCTAAGAGCAACAAGATGTTCAATGTAGATAGTATTTCAGCTGCTGATGGTTTTATGTAGGCCATGGAAAATCTTCCCACCCTTAAAAACCACCACTTCTCACTGAAAGTAGAGTGATTGTATTTAATTTTTTGAAATGTTATTCGTGATTTCATCTTCTAAAGCTGTTCAGCAAAATATAGGTATGCTTTGGTTTGTTTGGCCACCTAAGGAAAAACTTTCTTGTTAAACCTAAGATTCAAGTATTTCATATTTATCAGTAAATGCTCAAGGGGAGGCAGTTTAGGAGCTTATAGGAGCCACAGCGTAGAATAGGTTTCCCAGGTCTTTACAATTTGAAGGGCAGTCGATTAAAGGAGCCATATTTTTAGTTTTATGTTTCTCCTTAGTTGTTGAATGGCTTATGAGGAGATAAATGGCCTTGAAAAGTAAGACTTCACCTCTCCTGAAACCTTGTTTGTAATATCTGCCATAGTTCCTTTCTTGCCTAAAAAGGTTGCCAGTTGTCTCCTAGCTGCTAAGTCCACTGATTTTTCTCAGTCCTCATTTAGATCTAGCTTTTGACATGTGACCACCACTTCCGAGATGTGACACTGCTCTTGATTCTTGTCTTGATGGTTTCTTATGTTTCTTTTGCTAAGGTATACTGGCTAACACGTATTTTGCTTAAAAACCTTTGCACGTGTGGTCCACACTTGGAATTTCTCACTTTTGCCTTGTAGGATCCCTTGGCTTCCTAATAAGCACAGCTCAGGTGCCATTTAAGATTTTACCTGATCCTTCAGGGGCCTTTTATTACATCTTAGTAAAAATCTCTGTTGGAAGAGACCTCAGAAACCTTAATGAGGACTGAGTCTAAATTTCTTCAAACACTAAGCCAATGATCAACCTTGTCTTGAAGGACCTCCAGTAAGGAAAGCTCATATACATCCATTGTAGCCTATTAGTTTTGGACAGCTAATAAATGTTAGGAAATAAACCCTACTCAAACTTAATGTGTTTTTTCTTTTGCAACTTTTACTTACTGGTTCTGTTATTTGGTGCCAAGAAAGCCGATAACCTCCTCTGAGGAGAGCCTTTGTTTAGTACTTATAGACTTCAAAATGCTTTCCTCTCTACTTCCCGTGCTTTCTAGGTTAAACATCTATCCCCACTTTCCACTAGTCCACATATAATGTGAACACAAGGCTCTCCTTGCTTGCCCTTTGGATACTAGTTTATCCATGATTTTCCTAAAGCGAATCTCACAAAACTGAATACAATTTTGGGTTGGGTTTAATTAGGACTGAGTATATTGATATTGCCACCTCCTTAGTCCTGTATGTCAAATAATCTTGACACAGCTGAAAGAGTAGTATTGCTTTTCTTGATTCCATTCTTAGGCCTTCAATTATCTATGCAGATGATTTGAATCTATTAGGAAGATATTTCCTCCCCTCAAAATCCACCTGTTTGATTTAAAACACAAGTCAGCTCTTGACTCTTAAAACTAACCACCTCCTGCTTTTTCCAAATGCCAAGTTACATTGCTCCTCTTACTCTCTACCTGGCCTTACTGGGCTTTAGTCTCATCTGTTAAGTGAAGAGGCTGTTTTATCAAGGAGTTTCTACCATCCCACCTTTAAATGTGTTGACATCCTTCCACAAAACTAGGCACCAAATATTCCTGCAACATCTGACCATGTCGCCCACCAGTAAGAGACTTAAGTGGTGCCCAACTGCCTCCAGAATAAAATGCAAACAGGTCAGCATTTTAAAGCCCTCGGCCCTTCCCACACATGAACCTGGCTCCTTGGGCTTCTGCACACAGGTAGACTCCCATAACTTCCTTTACAATGCAGTCCAGGTGTCATCTGAAGCTCTTGATTCTCACCCTGTTTGTTAGCATGCTCCCTTTTGAAATTACTTTGTAGATACTTGTATGCTATTTACTTATCTTTATACTGTCTCCTTCCCTGAAGAGCACAATCTCCTCAAGGGCAGGGTTTTTTCTGTAGATTGCCTTTGAATAATGGTAATGCTTTGTATATGTTGTTGCTATTTTTCAGTCTTGCATATTTTAGGTGCTAATGAAAGTTGAAATGAATTAAACCCAATCTGCTGTTCCTAGTCGGGCACCCAAAGATTAATAGACACTAAGGTTTTTTATTGTGCTAGCCAGGAGAAATATTAAGATGAAATAAAGCGATTGCTATTTAATTCCCACTTTGCCTTTGCAACATCCTCCATTCCATGACCATCTCCCATTAGTCTGCTCAAAACTCATCTTTCAGGAATGTTTCAGATTATCCCCATCCAATTCTTAGTTTACATACCATTATGCATCTGTATGTTCAATTTTTTTTAATACCTGGCATTTTATAAATTATTAATATTTTGTAAAAAATTCTCAAGTCTCCTAACTAGATGTTGTTCCTAAGGGAAGGATATTTTTCCCTTTCCTATTTGGTATGAAGATTTCTGATCTATTGGTGGATCTAGACCCCAGGCTCTTCTCCCTTCCTTCCACCCTATTTGAACACTGCTGAATGTTCCAAAGGAGGTCAGCTTCCAGAGTGCACTCCAGGGATGGATGGGACCAGTTGAAAATTTATACTAGTTTCTCCCAGGTGCACATGGAGGAAGGAAGAAATGAGAAAGGACCCTTGTGACTCAAGTTTGGGTCATTGGAGAAATTTGTGGTTACAGTGAGAGGCCAGAAGAGCATCAGCTAAGGATGAGTTCAGTCTCAGACAATTTGAGTTTGAGGTACCAGGTGAATATGTCTAGTCGACAACTGGCTAACAAATTCCGGTAGAGATGCAGATTTTGGGAGGCAACTATCAGCACAGATGTTGATAACCGAAGCTCCTGGGAACCTTGAGAGATGAAGAATTGAGTCTGGAGCTAGAACCAAGGAAAAGTTAGAAGGAAGAAATCCAGGCCAGTGTGACACCACAACAGCCAGAGGAAGAGGGCCAGCAGTGATGTCAAGGAGGAAGAGGACAGAAGAAAACTGGATTTGACATTTAGGAGGTTACTGGTGACTTTATAGAAAGCAGTTCCATTAGAATGGCAAAGACAAGCCAGAGAGCAGCTGAGGAATGAGTGCATGGTGAGGGAGCAGCAGCGCAAATGGGTTCAGTTATTATTTTAAGTTCCTATTCTAGACTCTAGCTTTGTCATTCCCTTTAAATTTTCACTTTTGGTTAGATCCAATCCTATAAATGCATGTTCTATAACCCCGTTCATCAACATGCTTGTTTGATTTTCCTGACTTAGTGGCAGGAAGGAGTGCTCAGTTTTGGGCAGAGTGGATGCCTGATCTTTGCACAGTTTCTCCTTCTGAAGCCTTGATAAACAAGTGAGCTTGGCTGTCCTATTTCAGTGAATAACTTTGGAGGTTCAGTGTACTCTACCCCAAAGGTTTACTACAGCAAGCCTCTATAACATGCCCCTCAATCCCAAACAGGAAAGAGGAGAAATAATATTTGAGTATAGGAATTCAGTAGTTTTTGTTCAGAAGGGCTGGATCAGCTCTTTGTCAAACCAAAACAATTCTGTAGCTTTTAAAATAGATATTTTTGACATTTATCACCATCATATTCCTCTTTTATGAGGTTGGATTAAAATCCTTGTCCTCATTCATGGGTACTTGGTACTGTGTTAATAAAATTTAGAAATAGCATTTGAACTGCCCAAAGCTCAGGTGGACAGTGGATAGAGTGCCAGGCCTGGAATCAGGAGGACCAGAGTTCAAATCTAGTCGCACTCAAATACTTAGTAGCTGTGTGATCCTAAGCAAGTCACTTAACCCTATTTGCCTCAATTTCCTCATCTGTCAAATGAGTTTGAGAAGGAAATGGCAAACCACGCCAGTATTGCCAAGAAAATCCCAAATGGGGTCACAAAAGAGTTGGATATGACTAAAACTAATGAACAACAACTGGATGTAGCTTAAGGAAATTTCCATGTTATTTCTTAACTAGGCAAGGGACCACATGAGGTTTAGCTTTAGGTGTTTAGTTCCTGGTAGCTTAAATAGCACATGCTTTCAAATCAACTGTTAATAACCCAAGTGCTGCTGTTCCTGTCCTGTCTTTCCAAAGTGATTAGAACTAATACGGAAAGAAAGCACTTAATTAGAGGGACTAAAAGTGCTTCCAGCCATGGATTTTTGGTCATTCTATATATACACAAGGTGGAGTCAAGGGTTGGGCACCCTTGGAAAAGAAAAGAGGCTTAGTGAAAAGCTCAATGGCCTGGAGATAGGCAGTCTGGACTTACTCAGGGGGCTTTGTTTGAATAAATTGCTTCCCCTCTCTAGGCCTCAGGTTTTTTCCTCTACAAAGAGTAGTTTACATGTGTGCACACTTGAACAACAAATCAAAAGCTTTTATTGTATCCTAAGGGCACAAGAAGCAAGCCTTGATGTTTATTTTAGCTCAAGAGAAGGAAATCCATTTTCCTGGAGACACATGAATCAGAAAAGACTTCAAAGATGAAAAAAAAATCTGTAGCTATACATACCCACAGTCCCAAATAATGTTGATTATTTTACAAGTGAAAAATTACAGTAGCAAAACCTTGAGATTCATTGTGCAGAAAAACAACCATTCTGAAGAGGACCAAAGAAGAAACAGGAAATTTTAAACACAGAGAAAAAAAATCCAGACCATAAAAAAGCATACCTCAATATTTCGGGGCATTAAAGAACAATTAAAGTACATTAAAGTATATAAAGTATTGTTTATGAACCTTTTTCTCTTCTTTGCTCTCACAAAACCCCCCTGTAAATTAGTGACATACAGACTGCATTAAGAGTAAGGACAAACAGGATCTGGTTACTGTTCTAAGGCCTTCCTTTGCCCTTTTCCTGAATGACTAACAGTTAAAACTGCCAGGAATGTTTCTTTATAATAATCAGAAATAACTGCAAAATTCACATTCCCAAGCTTGTTCGGAGGCAGGAACTCATTTGCTCTGCAGCTAACTTACAGCCTTTTTAGCATTCATGACCCCTACGAAGAACTGGATGAATATCTCTGAAGGAGGAGGGTGTGGCAGGCATCACACACACGTACAGGCCTTGGGTAGGATGGCAGTGCGAGTTCATTGCTTGAACATGTGTTACAAAAAATGTGTCCACAGTTTCGACAGTGATGCTAGAACATGGTTAACAAAACAAAAAGGCAATAACAAGGCAGGTGGGTTTTTATTATATAAACACATCTATCTGCTCTATAGATACTTTCCAAAGTACTTTAAGTACAATATCCATTCTATCATTCCAGCTCATTACCACTGACCCTAGTCTTTACAAAAGCAGGACTTTGGAATCTTTGAATAGTTTTGCTTTGGGGTGGGAACAGAAATCAAAGGTTCTACAAAGGTCTTAGGGGTTTTGTGCCTGTAACTTCTCAATGTTTATTGCCCACAAATTCCCTGGGACACAGTCCTGCTGCCCAAGACTATGTTCTTAACTCAAAGAAACAGGAATTGAAATTAGGGTCTTCAGAAGGCATTGTGCTTTTTTCCTGAGATTTTGTGGTGGGGTTCAATGAAACCAATGGCGTCTTTTAGCCAACAAGGAGTTTGAAGAAGGTGAGTCTCTTTCTCCCAGTTCACCTTATAAGGCACCTACTTGCCTTTAATTTTGCCTGGGAAGTTAGCCTTGAGTCCCCACGTACTCAATGATGACTTTTGTCTGGGTAAAATCCGGATTTCACTTTAGTAACATTTTAGTTACTTCAAGGTTATTGCAAGCAAAATAACTATCTGCAAACATACTGAGTGGAGTACAAAGTGGAGTTTTTTGGGTATGATAGTATTTTCAACCTGATCAGGGCAAGGTGATGAAGTGGGTACAGTGCAGTGGTTCTAATGAGTCAGGTAGCAGGGGTGTTTTCTTACTTTTAACATTCTTAGACCAGGTTTAGGGGAGAGTATAAATTTATTTCTCTAAACTTGGAAAATAGACAAAAAAGAAAATCAAGGCCTGAGCCTCAGAATGGTCGGCGCTTACCTTCCTCCGGGAGATGGAGAACTCTTTCTCACACTGTTTGCAGTATGTTGCTTCATCATCTTTTAGCCAGGTGTGACCCTAAGGAGAAAGAAACCCTAAGAATTGCATTTTTCATCTGTAGAAAGAAGACAAAGGAAGACTCAAGAATGGCTAGAAATGCCAGTGACACACTTCAGCAGTAGCATCTCATCCTATATCAGGTAAGAGGAGTTTGAATACAAGGAAATTCCCTAGAAATCTGAAGCTAACTTAAACTGAAATTTTTAGAATCTTAAATGTTTTGAGTAATTTTTAAAAAAAGGTTTGTGAAGGCAGCAAGAGGAGTGGAAGGAGCACTGGGTTTGGAGTCAGAAAACCTGGGTTGCACTTTTCTGGCTTTGCTATTTGCTGCCTGTTGACACTGGGCCTCAGTCCCATCTATCTGTAAAATGGGGAAGTTGGCTTAGATGACCTCTGATATTTCTCACAGTTTAAGTACGTAACCTTACGAAATGTATTATTCTTCCTGTGTATTAAACCAGCGTACGTGTGGCAAATTATGTAAGTTAGTGGTCACCAAGTCTTGACATTTCTTCTCTCATCATCTACATTCTCACATTTCTTCCCTCCTTTCCATTCCCACTACCCATACCCTTGTTCAGGACTACATCACTTTTTGCCTGGATTACTCTCATAATAGCCCTTAACCAGTCTCTCTGGTTCTAGTTTATTCTCATCCCAATACATCCTGCCCTCTGCTGCCACAGTAATCTTACTAATACATCACTGTTCATGTTATTCCCCTACTCAAAGGCCTTCAATCATTTCCTCACCATTTACTGGATAAAGTTCAAACTCCACAGCCTGGCATTTAAGACTTCATACTCTGGCTCCCACCTACCTTTCTAGCTTTCTCTCTCACTTTCTTTCTGTCACATACTTCATGCTCTAACCAAGATGGATTGCCAGTCATTCCTCAAACATGCCTCTAGTTTTCCCTTTTCTGTGCCCTCTACTTGGAATGTTCTTCCTCTACAACTCATCAACATTCTACTGATCTGTCCAAGTCCAGCTCAAATACCGTATCTTCCATAAAGCCTTTCCCTATTAGGGATGGTGAACCTGTGGCCTTGAGGTCACATGGGGCCTTCTAGGTCCTTGGGTGCAGCCTTCTGACTGAGTTCAAGTTTTACAGAACAAATCTTCTTATTAAGGGGATTTGTTCTGTGATGTTAGGGCCCAACCACTCTGACTCTCATGATTTGAGGATGAGTGAGGATTAGGTACAGAAATGTTTACTTTGTATGTCAGTTATATTGAGAGTTTCTGAGGAAAACCATGAAGGATTGACTATAGTTCGCCTAAAATACTCAAATACCTCTTAGTTATTCATAATCCAGTACCTTTAGTGCCTTATTGACCTCTTTTATATCTTCCATCTTCAGCTTTGATCTGAAAAGAAAATGTTTAATGGTAGTAAGGACAGTTCTGATAGGATCAATTATCATGTCTACTGAAATACAGAAAAAAGTTTTTGTGAAAATAAAATGTTTCGGAATTACCTTTTCCCTCCCCCCCCCTTTTTTTTCCACCATTCTCCTCTTTGTTTATGTATTTGTCTAGGTATGTTTTTTCTCAAATTTAATTTCTGAGAGGTGATTTTAATCTATTTCTACCTCTACGTGGTTAGGATTAGTCTGAACACTTAAGAATACACATCTTCCAATTACCATAAAGATTAGAATGAAAAGTATCACATTACAGTCATAGTCATGGAGAATCACTGTGGAAAAAGGAAACTAAAATAAGCTATACCTACATCAGTTCTCCGAGATGGCATCAAGAAAACTGGGTCAAAATGACAGTTTTATATACTAGGCCATCTCATGAAGAGTATGTACCACAAAAACTTATCCTGACACAGAAACATAGTAAAAGTTGGAGGAAATAAATGTAGCTCCTTCGTTCCTTTTCTTGTCTTTGTTGTCTAAGGGAGAGTAGGAATTTCTATTTTTTAGTTACAGGATAGAAGAGGAAGAACAAAAGGAGAGCAGGGAAAGATGGATCTTCTAGCATGAAGGTGCTCTAAATGATGCTTAAGATAGTGAACTTCAACAAAAGGCAAAAAGGTGATGTTTTAATTAGGCTGAATGACCCAGAGCAGCCAAGGTGCCTTGTCCAAGATTACAGTGATTAAGGAGCTCATCGAGGGATTTTCAAACCACATCTAGAGCTAGCCTAGCTGTAGGTGGATCCTTTGCATATACACACTAAAGACTAAACTAAATTCATATTGGAAATCATACTTTTAAGAACAAAGCCAAAGAAAATATCAATAAAGCTCAAATTTCTGAAGTCTATAGTTTTTTTTTTTTTGCTTTTTTGGTGAGGCAATCGGGGTTAAGTGACTTGTCCAGGGCCACACAGCTAGTAAATATCAAGTGTCTGAGGCTGGATTTGAACTCAGGTACTCCTGACTCCAAGGCCACAGCTCTATCCACTTTGCCACCAGCTGCCCCCTGAAGTCTATAGTTTTGAGTGAAATCAAACTTCTAAAAACATTTTCCTTTTTTAATAAATGTTGAGCCTGAGTAGGGCAGCATAACAAAATAAAATGCAAAAATGAATGCCCATATTAAACAGGAAGAATTGCACTGTCTAATTGTTTTTGGTAAAACATCAATAAGGCTGGTCTGAGTAAATTAAAAAGTAAATTATGAGTCTAGATCAGAAAACAAAAGTCTAGATCAGACATGGCTACAACATGTTAACAAGAAATTAATGTGTAGAACACATGGAGGAATCTTCTGGCTCCATCCTACACACTTTGAGAGCTGCTGCACCAAAGAATATTTCAGAGACCCAACTCTTTTGTGATTCAATAGCCCATCATATTAATGAAAATGGAACATATTCTTAGTATAAGAGCATAAGAAAAACCATACTAGGTCAGTCCATGCTATTCTGTTCCTGATGGAAGTTCCAAGGGACTTGGAAATTCAGGACTGTGCCTAAATGAAGTTGAAAGTGGCAGGATGTGTATCGAAACATCTTTGTTTCCCTTGGTAACCCAATGACAGCTTTGCAATCTAAGATCTGATCTAAATGTTTTTTTTTTAAAAATCCAAATATAATAACCTGTACCATAATCTCATCGTAAGAATAATGAGGTCCAAAAACTTATTATACTTTATGAGAAATAGAACATTTTTGTTTAGACATATTCTGTCAAGTTTGAAGGAATACTCATTTATAGTATTTGGTGCACTCTAGCCATACCATTTATATTTATATGCTGAAGAGTTTTAATCTTTTAAAAATCTGTTTTATGCAGCAGTATTCAGGTTAGCTGCTTATCACTGGACCTCTTTAGTTTCATCACATTTTTCTTGAGGTAGCCGAAGAGTAATAAAGGGGCAAAGGGATCCAAATGGAAAGAAACTTTTAATCTGCTCTGAAGAAAACCACTGTGTGATTGTCTCAGGTTCACTTGCTTATAGACTAAAGAACATCTGAAAGAGAAGGGTGTGAGTAAAAGGAGGTGGAGGAGAGGAAGAAAAAAACAGAAGTAAACATGAGTGGGATGGCTAGTGAATGGGATTTGAGGGCTTAACGTGAGTTTTGATCTGACTCAATTGAAAAGTTCTGTTTGTCCTAATCAGGTTGAACTTGGGAACTCACTGGCTAAGGTGCAATCCCATTTCCTGCAGCGCTTGTTCCTGTTCTTCGCAAATCTTTTGTAATTCTTCTTTCTTCTCATATAGTTTTTGAAGTTCCTACAAACAACAAACCAAAAATTTTATAAACAATCAGGGATTCTTATTTTTTAAGGATAATTGCAACAGTAACACTTTCCTAACTTACAACCAGGGGCAGGAAATTCCCCTGAAGCTACAAGAGTGAATTGATACCAGGACTAATTTATGGGATTATTTATAGGATTTATTTCTTTGGATGACTCACCTACTGCTCTTTGCCACAAAAATGACTTTATCCAAAAAGTAACTAGAGAAGCTGTTTAGAAATGAGACTCTAATCTTCTACAGGTAAAAAACAGCTATACTGGTCAGCTATATCTCATCTTTGAATACTATCGTGTTTTAAGAAATGATGATAGGGATGGCTTCAGAAAAACCTAGGAAGACATATGAGCTGATACAAAGTGAAGTGAGCAGAGCTAGAACACTGTACATAGTGATAGTAATATTGTAACAACAATCAACTATAAAGACTTAGCTACTCTGATCAATACAATGGTCCATGAAAATTTCAAAGGACTCATGAAAAATGCTATTTACTTCTACAGAGGGAACTGAGGCATTCTGAGTGGAGACCAAAGTATATTTTTTCACTTTATTTTTCTTTTTGTTTGCAACATAGCTAATGTGAAAATTTATTTTGCATGACTTCATAATGGTACTGTATTTCTTGTCTTCTTAATGGGTGGAGGGGAGGGAGAGAAATTTGGAAATGAAAATAAAAACAAAACCAAAACAACCCCCCACCACCCAAAAAAACCCCAAAATCAAAAAAAGATACATATCCCCATCTTAGTGAGGATCTGCCTTGTGGTCAAGCCCTCAAATAATACTTATATGTGGTAAGCAAAATAAAGAATTTTTAAATTTTTATTTTTTGAAGTATCACTTTTAGAAAAATAATTTTAAAAATCCAGATGTAAACACTTGGATTTTCCTTCCCAGGAAATACAAGATTAAAAGCTAACATGAATAATAACTTTTTTTGTCAGAAGTAGGCTATTTGTGATCAGATCCTCAATTAGCTGACTCTTGTGAAAGAACTGTCAACATTTTTGAACAACAAAAAACCCATTTCTAAGACCTATTTATGGCACCAGGAGCTATGATATATATGTTCAGGGATAGGGAACCTGTGACCTTGAGGCCACATGTGGCTGCTGATATCTGAGACTCCAAATTCATTGTAAGTTACTGGGGGGTATAGAAAAATAAATGAGTAAAAATGAAAATGTAATTAATCACCTGAGGGGATGGTGAATTTTCAGAATTTAGAAATAGGAAAAGGATTTGAACAGGGGCTTTATCCTAATTTGGGAAAGGAAGTGGACTTGTAGAAAGTGAAAACATTCTATGTGACCTCTCTGAGGATTAAGGCAAACTACTGGGTTGAGCTGGTTGCTTGTAGTTTTCTCTCCAGGCCAGTTTGACCCCGAACTTAGCCAAACAAAAATTAGGAGGCCCTTATACTATAGTTAAATAAGAAAGCCATGGTTTCTAATGAATCTCTAATCCTACTAAGAGAAAAGGAGGTTTCTTTCAATCATTTTGGTAGGTAGTCATGTAGGGTAGATCCCAGAGAGCAATTTACCCAGGGAAATATACTGACTTTAGAGAATATGGCCTTAGTTCTGCTTCTCCTTTATTTCTGACATCTTCTGGAAACCAGGACAAGCTCAGCCTATCCTTTGCCTGAACTACTTCCAAGGCAGCTATGAATCTCTAAATTTGGAGGCCATCTCCTCTGACCCCTGAAGAAGCCAGGGTTACTATGGGGTTCCCACCAGAGGTCTGAACCCACTCCAGGATGAAATCAGGGTTCTGGTTTGATGGAACTGACATAAGCCCTCTGGGATGGCTACAGAACTCCTGAGTAGTTCTCAGGGGTGGTTTAGAAGCACTCAAGGAGAGCTCCTGGCTTCATGAAAATATAATGGATCTTGTGGGACTTTTGTCTTCCTAGATCCTTGAAGGCCTTAGGGTAGGGTTATTAGGTATTATCTGCCCATGTGTATTTGCCATATTGATAAGTGGCACAGGAATACTGAAAGACCCTTTTGAAGTACTGCTATTCATTTTCTGTTCAACTAAACCACACTTCAAAGATTCTGAAGAAATTTTTAATCATCCCACTTATGCAAAAAGACAAGGGTCTTCTGATGGCTTTTCTTAAGAGGCAGGATTGATAAGCACAAACTCTCAACCTTCCACACGCTGTCCAATTTACCTTTTTCAACCCTTCTACCTGGTGCAACTCAGTTTTGAGCAGAGAGGCGGTATCTTTCTCTTGTTGCAACTCTTTCTGAAGAGCTTGCCTTTGCTCTTTTTCTGACTTCAGCTCTCTCTCGAGACTTGAGCTGTTTTTAAAAAAGGAGATGATTTTAACCAGTAATTGTTATATTATGGAACACAGTTCAAACCTTGGACTCGTGCAAGCCAAAGGGAAAGTCACTTGAAGTCTTATTTCTTGAGCAGGGAAGTGCTATTTCTCAGTGATCCTTCTAATCATTCGACTTTTCCCCAAAACTTAGAGCTTCTATAACCTTCACCTGTAAGAAAACTAATGGCTTTCTATCATCAAGTACTAAAAAAGGGTAAAGAAACCATTATGCTGACCTGGGAATCTAAAGAGAAAAACAGGAGAGCACGGGTTAGAAAGAAGCAAAAAGGTAAACCTCAGAGTTTTTAGATAGGAAACAAGGTAGTTTTGGAAAAGAGAGGAAAATCAATACTCTGATGAAAAGGAAACTTCTTGAGTTTACTGTTTTATTTACTTTATGCACTACTCTTCAATGCCACTTAAAAGAGAAGCCACTTTTGTGCTGTGCACTAGGATATGAGCTCTGGTAACGGTGACTTTGAAACTCAGGGAGTAATTGTTACATCACAGCCAGACAGATGCCTGTCATTGCTCCCAGGGTCCATACCTCCCCTTCCCCCATCCATTCCCTCACAATTAAGTGGTAGCAGTTGGGGATTATCTACCATTGTTTGTCCAACTGGGACAGTTGCTGTTGCAGGGTTTCAACTTTGCCACCAAATTCTTGCTTCAGTTTGTTGTTTCTCTCTTCAGCACTCTGCCTGGCCTTTTCAGAGTGCTGTAATCTAGGCCAAAATATGAAAAGATATATATGTCTAACCTAGCATTAAGAAAATATAAGTAGCAGCATTAAGACTCAGCATCTTATAAACATTACTCTTCTGCCTCTTCTAGTTAGTTCTGAGTCTAAACACTAGAGACAAGTGGCTCAGAGCAAAGACCTTTTCACAGACTCAGTTCTCAGTATGATTAAGGACATATAAAAAATCCTCAGGCTTTTGGGGCAAGGTCATTTTATATCCTTCTCTACTTAAGAGAATTACATTATCAGTCTCTACAAGAGTAGGTGAATTTTTACTTCACAGAACTAGAAATCTCCAATTTCATAGAATTCCACAGAGACTTTCTAGTAAACATCAGGCGATATTCATTACCTACCTCTCTTCCATTTCTTTCATGGCAGACATTACTTGACTGGTTTTTCCTTCATAAGATATGATTGCTTCATTCTTCTGTTGTAAACAGCTCTCTGCATTCTAGATGGGAAAAAGTTAAATTCAGAGAATTAAATGAGATAATATATACATTTATCCAGTGTGCTGTAAATGATAAAATGTTAGATGTCTGGTATAATCATAAGTATTAACAGTCTATAAGATGTCAGAGAATTGACTCAAATCAAAAGCTTTGGAATGCCTACTTAATTATTCTTAATGTCTTATTTTCCTATCCCTTTAAAAAGTATATCATTAATTCCTGAGTGTCAGAGTCCTGGCAAATGTATGAGCAAATCTCAGTTTTACAGATAGGAAAGGGATGAAGAAGGAGGTTGGCTCAAGGCCATAGTCACCAAAGGTTATTTTGGTCCTTTGCTTTCACCACCAGAGTGCACTCTCCTCGTTGGAAATTATAAACGCAATAGGCTTGTTTTAATTGAGGAAAAAAAAAACCAAAGTAACATAATTAAGCACTTTGGTGGAAAGGAAAGATAGCAAATCTAGGGTATGGGAACATGGTCTTTCAAGAGTATTTATGAGAAATAAGGAGGAGAGATTCTGTCAAAGAGTGAGACTCATACACAAAAACATTGAGGAGGCTAAAGAAACAGTCACTATGGCATTCTTTTATTTGAGTCTCAAGTCACAGAATGGGCAGCTGGATGATAAGTTGCTCAAACAGACTTGAACTATACAGGTTGAAATCTGACTTACAGTTCAGAGAGAAGAAAAGAAAGGAACTAGTAATCCCAGAATGCCTCACTTAGTGTGCCCCTGGTGAGAATCCATGGAGAGGACCCAGATACAACTAAAATTAGAGGAATGATAAATCTACCACGATCTGTTAACTAGCATTGTTTATGTTAAACATTCTTTATGACAGTGTCTTTTTCATTTTTGGAGGAGAAATTTCTATAGCTTTAATACATATACAAGTGTAAAGAGATATTCATTTAATGGCTAACATATTAACAGAATTTAGAGGAAATAACAGGAGAGATCTGGGCCCTGGATGATCACTGAAACAGGTTCCTGGACAGACATTTCTAAATCTTTGTGACTCAATAAACTAGTACTGATTCATTTTACAGTGATGTCTCTAATACTAGAAAGAAAGGAGAAAAGAGAAAGACAAAGAAGAAAAGGAGTAAAAAAAAGTCCTGGTTCATTAGCACTGTTACTATTATCAATGTCTTTCATAAAGATATTCAAGGAAGTGAAAGAGGAACCATAACGAAACATGATTTTCCATGGTTATTTATATAATAAAGTAGGAAGTAAAACTTTTAACAAACAGCAGTGTTTTAGAAAGGATAATTCTGAATTAACAGGATCAACATATGAAGCATGTAAGCAAGACAGGAGTATTTGAAGTCAGCACAATTCAGTGGACAATTGGAATGGTTTCCATCTAATCAAAGCATATTCTTCTCAGCAAAGGCTCACTCTTGTATGCCTGCCATTTCTGAAATTGACACCACCCCTCGGCCCCCCCCCCCGCCCCGGGCCACTTTGGGTGAAGAGAGGGAAAGGCATATATATATATAGATATAGATAGATAGATAGATATATATAGATAGATATCTATCTATCTATCTATCTATATCTATCTATCTATCTGTATCTATCTATCTATATCTATATATAGGGAGGCTGTGTGGGTATGTTTTACATAAAAGAAAAGCTTAACATGGACTGAAATGGAAAGATTTGGAAACCAAACACTAAGTTAATAAAAATCAACTTATATGTGATTGGTATTGAACAATTAGAATTCGAAGCAGAAGTGAACAGACCAAGGAGAGAATAAAAGAAGAAATATTTCAAGATACATGGCAAAGTGCAAAGAAAAAGGACATCTGACAAACAGTGAGGTCTGAGTTACCATGTGGTATATAGATGTATTGACTTCATGTACAAAGTTGATTTCTACCTGAGCCTTATGAAACATCTGCAAGTTAATTGCTTTGACTTCTTCCAGTTGTTGGCGAAGAGCAACTAATGTGTCTTGTTTCTCATGGGTATCCTTTTCTAGCAGTTTCATTGCAATCTCCATTTCTGTTTTCATTCCAATTTGCAGCTCCAGTTCTTTCTCTAGTTCCTTAGGAGGAAGATATTCACAAGGAAATCACTACTTTAAATATATCATGGGAAATCATCTAGTTTAATTTTTGCATACCACTCTTCTTGGTCAGTGCCAAGGATATTAGAGCTTAAAACTGTAAACATTTATTGTGCTTCCATGTCCACCTTAAAGTCAAAACAATCATTATGGAATCACAAGGCTGAAGGAGAGTCAGGAAGGTCATATAAGACACCATACGCAAAGTTATAATATACTTTCTTCCCATAATGTATATGTCTGTAAGCAAAACTGGCCCTGCATCACGCCTACAAAACACTAGTGGTGTGACTGACAAAACAAACCTTACTTTAAATTTTTGCAACTGTGTCTACTTTCCCAATGATTCAGCAGTTGAATACATTCTTGGAATTATGTGCTTAATTATTAAAAACACATTACAGGGATAAGGATGAGTTTCTTCTGCACCTGTTCTAGTGTCCCACACTCACCATTCTGACTCTCTTTTCCTCTTTCAGCTGTTTCCACACATCACTATACATTTCATCCAGGCCTTGTCGAGTTTGTTTGTAAGTCTCAAGCTCTACCTTTGTATCCTGTTTTGTCACCTGTATCAAATACAAATATTAGAGTACTCCAGAGAACAACTCTTTTGTTCATTTATTTGAATACACTTACTAGGTGGGATGAATGAATTCTAATTTAAAAAAAAATTTTTTGTTCGTTTTTTCTAGGCAATGTGGTTAAGTGACTTGCCCAGGGTCACACAGCTATGAAGTGTCAAGTGTCTGAGGCTGGATTTGAACTCAGGTCCTCCTGACTCCAAGGCCACAGCTCTATCCACTTTGCCACCAGCTGCCCCCTGAATGAATTTCTGCCTAAAACCATGATAATTAAATTTTATATTACAAACTGAAAAAAGAACAAACATTCACAGGTTTAATATAATTAGACAACCATTCTAGGTAAATGAATCAAAATGGTCCTGGCTTTTCTGAACTAGCACTTTTAAAGGAGTTATCTGGAAGTCTAAACCAATGTAATGTAGGAATATTTCCTTCTAAAGCATTTACTAGTTATCTTTCCAGCCTCTAGTTAAATCAGGAAAAAGGAGCCATATAAAACCATTCTTCATCCCCACTTAAAAGGGAAGAAGAATGGTTTTAGCATTCTCCTTCATATTTGTTTCCTCTTATAGTGGCCCCCAAAACAATTTGGAAACAAGTTACTCTATAATTCCTAACAGATGAAGTATTGCCAGTGTAATGGTTGGGAGATGCCCTGGGCTGTCTTCCACAAGCCAGAGCAGAATTTCCACTGGAGCAACTTCAAGGATCCGATCCTTATTCAGCTCCAAGAGAAGAGCTTGCTGGATAAAAATGTGCTTATTTTCTGTGGCCAGTTTTCTAGGTCCAATTTCTAACCTCTACACTCTTTTCACTTCTTTCCCGGATTAATTCATTTTGTTCTTTTAACTGTCGCTGTTCTTCTTGAAGTGAATCAATCCGATCTGTAGCTGCTGAAAGCTGGTCAAGAAAGGAGAAGAATTTTAGTGCAGACATGAACTACTTATTTAAATCACTGAAATCCACATATAATTTAAGATACTAAGTTAGACACAAAGTATACAAATCTTAGCATTCATATAACAGCAGCAAATCATAGAAATTTAGAGCTGAAAAGGATTTGTTCCCTTCAGATGAGGGAAATTAGGCTCCCAGAGGGAAAATAATCTGTCTAAGGTTATTTAGCTAAGTTCAGAAATTCTTTTTACTATTATTGTGACATTCACCCTTTTAATTGTTTTTAAAGATATTCTTAAAGGTCAGGGATTGGATTTTAGATCTAAAAGGTTATCTTATATCACAAATGAAAGAGAACGAACTTTGAACATATCTTCTTTTGTCCCATCTGTTCATGTAACTGCCTTAAGCTCACAGAACTGGCAGCTTTTGCTAAAAGGACATTAATTAGTTGGTGTTTTAAAGTAAAAATTTAAGGTTCAAGTGGTAGAACCTGAGTTACCAATGTATAGAAACCTGAGGATTTGAAATCTCAGCTAGGCAAGGTTCAATTGAGAAATTTTTCAAACAGATTAACAAGTAAAAAAACCAAAAACAACCCACCGTTTTATTTAACACCCATTTTTAACAGTTGTATATACAGAAAATGAGGATTACCTAAAGAAAGATAATTTCTTTGATCAGCAGGGAAGGCTTAAAGACCTGCTAGGTATGTTAGGTATAAATACACGAGCCAGCCCTCCTTATCCCTGCCTCAGAATAAATGTAGAGAAAAGCACAAGAAGAGAGAATCTGACAAATCTTAGGGCATTTCCCTAATCTTTCCCCCCAACACTGTGATAGTAAGAGTTTCATCTGGGAAGTTCACACGCCAAATTATGAAAAGAGGTGAATCACTCACACTCAGCATTTAACCCAAACTCCTAGCTGACAAATAACATGCATTTGATGATTAGAGAAACTAACTCTGTACTCTTGGCTATAGCCTTAAGACTGGGCTTTATGCATAAGGTCACTTTGTCCAACATAAAACAAAGGGCTTTCAGAATTCTGTTCTTACAATGATAAAGAACAGATAGCAAATAACATCCACAAGTTATTTCGAATGGTACTTTAACTGGCTAATCTTTTGTAAATTCATCAACAGTCACAAGTATTTGATCTATACTTGTGCTGAGTAACATCTGAAAAATGGAATATGTGCATCAGTTTCCTGAATCTTGTGTTGGCCCCACTGGCCAATGACAGAGTGCCAACCAGTATAAAATTCCTTTTCAATTCTTCTAATTGATAAACTAGTGCAAACTGACTAATGATTCCACACTTAATGCATACTTATCAGTAAAAATACTGGAAAGCATTTTTCCCAACCCCTTAGAACAGCAGGATGAAGATGCCTAAGCAGACAGGGACAGCTACCTGAAGAAAGGTTCACAAACAGATGAGAATGCCATTTCCTGCTAAGAGAGGAGACTAGATGGCTATCATGTCCACAAAGGAGTGTCTGCCTGGCAGCTGGTAGAAAACTTTCGCCTCTTCCTCATCCCTTGATCTTCCTGTCCTCTCATTTTCCACTTCCTATGTAAGAGACAAGAGAAAGACCATGCTGTGGAGATATTGGTCAAGTCTTGTAATAAATACTTGTTGACTTGACTTGATTTGACTTAGTCCCATGCTTCCAAGAGGCAGGTGTTCTGGAGGGTGTAGGCTAGGGTATTTGTACCTCTCAACAAATGTTATAACCTCTGGTACAAAGGGTGGATGTATAGTGTATTATCTGTAACTCTATGCCACAAATAGCTCTTCCATTTGGATTAAAGAACAACAAACAAAAAACAGGAAAGCCATAGGCCATCCACTGAAATCCCACTTTAATGTCTTATTACGGCATGGAGGAACCCTGGGTTCTTAACATAAAGCTTTAGAAGGCCCTACTAAGCTAGAAAGGCTTCAAGTGTAGATTTGGCCTTAGACTATCACCTAAGGACCAGCCTGGCTAAGTTTGGAGAGATTCCTGAACCTCAGTAAACTAGTAAGACCTTTTTTTTCATGTGGGTCTAGACCTCTGATTTAATTGATGTTTAAAGTACACTCATGATGAGAAAATTCCCTCATCAAGGCAGACCAACAACTCTTCTGTAACTTACAGACTTGACAGACTCTCGTAGGGCACTATGAGAGTTTAAATGACTCCCAAGGTCACATGGCTAGAATTTGTCAAAGGAGAGACTTGAATCCTGGTCTTCCTGACTGAGGCTGGCTCTTATTTGCTGCCAAACCAAAGGAACAAGAGCCCTAACAGTGGAAGTTGATAAGGGTGGGACACAGACTCTGGAGAGATAAGGTTTTCTAGATAGTAATCCTATGCAGGGCTTAAAGCAATTTTCACCCACTAGAAACTCAGCGACACAGCAACAACACCAATCATTTATTAAACATTTAACACATATGAAGCTCTGTGCTAAGATGTGGGGACAGGAAAGATAGGTAAGACATACTCCCCATCTTTAAGGTACTCATAATATACAGGATATGCATAGGAAAGCTATAAAATCAAGTGGTATTCGAGGTCTGAAAAGGAAGGTGGTGCTTATTATGGAAGCAACGGAAAAATCTGAGGTGTCCTGGAGGAGGTAACATTTAAATTGTGCTGTAAAAGAACATGGAAGAATTCAGCTGGTGGAGAGGGAGGGATGGCATTTCAGAAATAAGGACTGGCTTCTACAAAAGCATAGAAGGATGTGAGCAATGTGCATTTTGAGGGGCAGAGAGTCCAGTTTGGTTGGAACAAAGCATGAATGGAGGGGAGGAACAGGATATAAGGCTGGGGAGGTGGTGTGTAGTACCACATTATGGAGGTCCTAGAGAAGGAGGAGAGGAGAAGCCTGAACTTGACACAGCAGGCAATCTGAAGGACTGAAGATTTCTGAGAAGAAAAGTGACGTGCCCAAATCTATCTGTACAAAAACGTATACTACCAGCAGTATGGGTGGATGGGAGAGGAGAAAATAAAAAGGGGAAGACCTGTAAGAAAGAGAATGCTACAGTCTCAATGGGTGGGAATGACTAGGCAATGTGGTGGCAGTGTGACTGGGACTGAAGTGGACGGGATGAATGTGAAATCTGTTCTGGAGATAGATCTGGCAAATGACTAGATATGAAAAGTGAGCGAGGGTTAAAGATATCCACAAAGTTATAAATATTGTAGGTCAAGTGAATGGTTGTGTGCCATAAACACAAACAGTGAAGTCAGAAGATAGGTGGGTTTGGAGGAAATATGACTTTGGTTTGGGGCAGGTTAACTTTGAGATGCTGGTAATATTTATAGGTAGCGAGGACCTGGAGATGTGAGTCCGTAGCTCAGAAGAGTTTTCCAGACTAGAAATATTGATTTGGGTGTTATTTGCACAGAGACAGTACTTGATGTCACAGATGTAAATGAGACTGCCAGGAGAAAGAATGTAAAACAAGAAAACAGACTGTCCTTTGGAAGGAAAGCTTACTCTAAGGGGTAGAGAAGAGGATGAGGAGCCAATGAAAGAGATAAGATATGGTAAGAGATGTAGGAGGAAAACTAGTAGGGTACAATATCTTTTAAATCAAAGGAAGAGGGAGCACCTAGTAGGAGGAATCACAGGATCAGATATTTTTTAGAGCTGGAAGGGATGGAGTGTCAACAGCTACAGAGATGTAAAGGAAGATGAAAACTCAAAAAAGGCCACCAGCAAATTTGGTGATTAGAGTCATTGATGACTTTGAGAGAACAGATTCAATAGTGTGTTCAAATCAGACTGCAAAGAGTTGAGAAAAGAAAGAGTAGGTAGTAAAAGGAAAAAGGACAGCTGGTTTAACAGGAAGGAGAGAAATGGGAGAGTAGCTAGTTGGACTAAAGGATTAAGGGCAGGCTTTCTTTGAAGTGGAGAGATCTGAACATATTTGTAGGCCAATGGAAAGGACAGCTAGGGATAAGAGAGCATCTTTGCAGAAGGAGGAGATAACTGCTAGAGGAAGATCCCAGAAGATGTGGGGGAGAACTGGGATCAAGTAAATCTTGACAAATCAAAACCATTTCAGATAACTTTAATGTCAATACTTAAAAAAATTGTTACAAACCTCTTCTTGAAGTTTTGAATTGGTCTTTTCTAGACAATCTATCTTGGCCTGGAGATCCCCAACAGTGCAGCTGGAACAAAAAGGGATTAAAGACTGAACCTGTGAGCACACTAAACATTCACAGCTCTGTATACTCAAGGCAATAACTCTCAACCTTGGTTTTATAGCAGCTCAGGATGTTTCCGATGACTGAGAACAGGGGTGGGGGAACCTTCAGGCCACATGTGGTTTCTCAAAAGGATTTGTTGTGTAAAATTTGGATTCAGTCAAAAGGCTACAAGTGGCCTGAAGACCGCAGGTTCCCTACCCCGACCTAGACTGAAGGGAAGAGTCTTAAGAACCTTCTCTCTCCTCCTCCCCCACCGTCTTATTGTTTAAAATTACACAGTTATTTTCTGGAGGAGGCTAAAGCTGGAGTATGGGTTTGAAATCTAACCATGACAGGGATAGCATAAAAACAAAAAAATTTTTGCTTTTTTAGACAAGTTTCAACAATGAAAGTAAATTTATCTGTAAGATACATATAAATTTCATTTACTTGCTACAAATGTCCTAGTATGCTTGACATAATTTTATTTGCTACAAATGGTATGTTACAAAGCTCATCAAACTGATTCAAATGACACAGACAGAACATAAGCCAGCTATTTCCACTCTGTAAGGGTGTATCTTTAAGATATGGGCTGCCATTCAGATCAGTTTCTGGACTGTTATGATCTGAATGGCAGCCTGAAAAAAAGACATCTCCATACCTACCATATGTGGGTCTGTATTTGCTTATTATTGTCTACAATTCAGAATAACTGTGTAACTGGGAAACAAATAAAAGACTGAGTGCCTAAACCTGAGCTGAAGTTATCTGGCATAATACTGAAGAATCCATTATTCTGCTAATCTCTCTTTTGAAACTTTCATTTTATGATTTGGAGATCACCAGCCAAAAAGACTGCTTGTAAAGGATACTAGAAACTATTTCCCAAGAGGAAATTAAATCACTCAGTTGCATACAACTCAACCACCGGCTGTTCCTTTTGTTTGCAGACTGAAAATATAAGAAAGCTAGAAAGGCTTCTTCAAAAAAAGTATGAAATTATGATAACATTTCTAGTGAATTTTCTTTGGAAACAAACATCTTGTGAAAGGATAATTAACAATTAAAATTGTAAATTTAGAAAAACTTTTCATGAAAAAATTAAAGTAAACTAGAAATTAAAAAAAAAAACCTTCTGTAATAGTTAAAGCTCACATTTACATAATGCTTTAAGTTTCACAAAGCACTTTCCTCCTAAAAGCTCTGTAAAGTAGATAATAGTACAAATACTGTTATCCTCATTTTACAGATAGAGGAAAAAGATTCAGAGAAGAAAAGTGATTTGCCTAATGAGCAATGAAAATAAAAAATGACTGAGTCCTACCTTAAGTGTCTGTTAAGTTCTTCGACATAATTCTTTTGATCAAGGACATCAGTAATTCTTTCATGTCTGTTTTTAAAGAAAAGGGATTCCTTAATTCATTGGTTATTCCTTATCTTCATTCTCTATTCTCCCTCCAAAAAAGACTACCTCACATAAATAACAGTATCTCCAGTAATAGAAAACCACTAAGTCACAATACTTAGAAAGGCTGGAGAACAAGTGTTCATCCTCCAAGCTAATGAACGGTACAGCTAGTGAAAAAAAAAAAAAAGAAAGCTGGTGAAGGGAAGAAGAATTAGAATGAATTACTGAAACCTGCATTATTAAAAAGTCTCAGAAAATGGGATGAAAATTAATACCATATAACAGGGCATGAATAAAGTGACTTTTATGGCCAGTGTTAAAAACATTTTCCCTATCCTTTAAGGGCAAATAAAGGAAAGTGAAAGTAGAAAAACCTACAGGAATAGTAACAAACTGTGTAATAAACTATGAAAAACTGAGACCTCTATCCTCACTTAATCAGTTCCATATCTCTACTGAAAAACAGTGACTGTTGTTAACCAGTTATTGAGGTACTCAAAGCGTATATGATTTGATTCCTAAGCTCATTTCCCTCTGCTTGGTGAGGTTTGGGAGTTGTCATACTACTTTGTCAATGGCCCAGACTCGAAGGCTCAACTTGGCCTTCCTTTCAGCAGTGCTGGAAGACTCATGGGGAGGGCTCATCTTCTCATTTGGAATATAAAGCCCAGAAACAGTGATAGACCTGGCACCTGCATTTATGAAACAAAAGCAAATAAACAAAAACCACTGGATTTCAATATGTTAGCTATTTGTTTAGTGAAAACTCATTTATTTCAAAACATGGAACTAGTTCAGTGAGGATCAACATTACCTCAAAAATAACACCAGACATTTGGATAGGACTTTTACAGATATGAAGGACTTTCACATCTATTATTTCACTTGATCCTCACAAGAAGTCTGTGAGGTGGGTCGGATGGGGAATATAGAAGACGACCTCAAGAGTCTTAAGACATTAAGTAATTTGCCGAAGACCATCTGGTTAGTAACTGTTCATGTAAGAATTAGTAATTAGAAATCAGAAATCTGGTCATCTCAAGCCTTCTCTGGTGCCCTTTCATAGTTAGAGAAGCTTAGAGAATCTAGTTCTGCCGCTTCATTACACAGATATGGAAACTGAGACTTGGCGGGGGTGGGGTGGGGCGGGTAGTGACATGCTAAAGGCAGCAAGTGGCCAAAGGAGGACTGTAAGGCAGGTCTTCTGACTTCTTGTCTATTGTGCTTTCTACTGCACCAAGGTATTTTGTGCACTACAACAATATTTGCTAGAATTCCACTATAAAGAATAATTGACTGTGTACATACTCTCTGTCACCATCAATATCCTGTACATCCTTAAGATATAAGGAAAAATCGATCACTCCAACCTGGTTAAAAAAAAACAAACACAACACGCACAAAAGTTTAGACAACTCTTTCTACAAAGAAAAGTCTAAGATGGCATTTCTTATTTTCTACACCATTCATTATCTTCATAATTTAGGTTGAACTTTATTAAATTCCTGTCCCTTTAAAATAATCATTTCCCCTGGGGAACACAAACTATGCTAAAAATAAGGCTCAAGAAATCAAAATATGTCCTGTTGTAGACAATGATTTCTTTTAAAAGAAATGATTTGCATGGCTACTGTGGAAACTGATCACAGGTAATGGAGCTGGAAGGGTCCTCGGCATTTAGCCCACCCCCTCAGGGAAGTTAAATGACACCCAAATACCCATATGTAGTAAGGATCAGAGGTGCTAGTTAAAGTTAGGTCCTCTAACTAGAGATTTTGTGGCTTTTTTTTTTTTTTAACATTTTATACCCAATATATCTTGATTCACAAATTTTCTGATAACAAAGCCCCACTTGAATGAAGTTAGCCTGGGTATTAAAGAAGTGGGGAAAAATTCTGACTTCCTCAGTACTTGTCAGTGGCTTTTGAAAAAGTGATGATGGTGCTATCTCTGGCAGAGAACTCTTCATGAGCCAACCAAGGTCATACTCTGGAAACTCTCACAGAAGTTCCCTGACTTTGGGGAGTCTCTTGGGAATGGAAAAAAGGGCTGCTGAGGCCTGGCTGCAGGAGGCTTTCATGGCAATGGGTGGTAGATTATTGTGAGAGAAGTGAGGATGCCCTGCACACTCCCTGAACAGAAAAGAGTGAACAACTACAATCTGACTGTACATTCTCTATTCAGAAGGGAGTCCATACATATATCCTGAGAATCCACATCACAAGAAGGCATCTTTTTCCACTAACAGAAAAATTACCATAGTAATGTAATCCCTATTAAATGGCTTTATGTTCCAATTTAGACACAGACTAAATTTTTTTTTGAAGTTGAGTCAATTTTCATTAAAGAATCATAGGATCTAAGCACTAGAAGAAGGACCTTTCTATGCCATCTTGTTCAATCAGTACCAAAGAGAACCTTCCATGACACCCCACGCATTGGCCACCCAATAGCTTATACTAAGGAGAAACTCATGATTCTTCATATCTGATTCATTTTGGGGGGAGGGGTGCAGGGGATGGGAAGAAGAGAAAGAAATTATTCTGAATTTAAACACCAAAAAACAGAGCCTTTCTATATACACACAGCAGGACACAAAAAAGAGGATTCTATATGCAACTATGAATCTCCATGTCATACTGATTGCATTCTCCAAAACTATATACGCAGGCAGCCCATTCTATTTGTGGGTAGCTTGAATTCTTAGGAAGTTTTTCATTTTATCAAGCTAAGGATCCCTCTCTGAAACTTGTACCTACTCTTCCTGTTCAGCCCTCAGGGCTGACTGTGTAATGAGAAGTCTAATCTCTAATTCCCCTTGTACATGACAACCCTTCAAATACTTAAAAGAATACCATCTCATCCCCTCTAAATTTACACTAGCCCAAGTATTTCCATTTCCTTTACTGATCTTCATATGGCATGTTCTCTAGTCTTTCTCACATCATAGGCACTGTTTTCTGGACAAACTCCAGTTTGTTTATGTCTTTTCTAAAGTCTGATGTCCACAACAGAACACAGTACTCCAGCTCTAGCCAGGCCAGGGTAGAAAAGGAACTATTACCTCCTTATTTCTCCATGCTTTTCTTTTCTTAATGTAACTTAGGAAAGCATTATCTGGTCTTATAAATAAGAAATAATTAATACGCCAGTAACTGTTACAGAGCATATGGAAAACACTTGCAACACTGGGCCTATAATTTAAACTTCCAAATTGTTATTTGTTCCAAATGTATCCCATCCATGTGCATGTCTTCACAACTAGTAATCAACACTGGTTTAACTCAAGCACTTCATCTATAGCAAGAATTCTATTTCACCTGAGAGTCCAAATCTTCTCCTTTTAAGCAGAGGTTGGCATCAAGAACATTGAGTCCCACCAGCAGACCTACAATTACTGTTCCTTCTTCTTCCATCATCAATGCCTCAGGTTCGTAGAACTCACTAAGAGAGATTGGCAGCCACCGAAGTTATGCTTACTTTACAGCAATAACAGGCAAACTGTATTTAACAATAATGCTGATATTTAGATATGTAAGCCTAACCTGGCAGGCTGGTCTAAAGTTGGCATGCCGGTGAAGCTCTAAAGTTTCCCCAAACAATATTTGTGAATACTTAAACTTGGTTTTCAAAGTTGCCCTGTTAAAGGCACAATGCTCATGAATACTTACTGATTTATAAAAGACACTAGAAACATTAGTTTACCTAGTGATAGGAACTTAACAATTTAGACACTTTTATGAAAACCATTATGACCTTTTGGGGAAGGATACCCCCCAGAAGAAGATTCTCCCCTCATCTCCCCACCTCTGTACCAACCGGACAAGGGAATTATATTGGAGAAAATTCTTCCATCATTAGCCACATGAGATGAGAAGAAGCAAAAATCAAATATTCTGGTGCAATTTACATAAATACAAATGTCAAAGATGCATTGGGCCCATGTAAAATTTAACACAGTAGACATCACTGACACTATAAATATAGATTTTATATCAAATCCTCTGACATTTATATGCTGACATTTCTTCTGTCTATTGGTCAAGGTAGTGATAACCTCTTATGAGAAAAGTTTTTTCTATCTCAATTAAAAATGACCATAAAGCCTATCTTACCTTCTCTAAACCTCAATCATGATTTCTTCAGGTTATTCATCCCAATAAGGACTAATCATTTTTAATACTATAATTTAACAATATCAAACAGTCATTATTAATACTGACAGCAAATTTTCAGAATGTTACCTGTACTCAATAAATGAAAGACTTAATACTAAACTACAGCTGTGTAATAAATGGTATTCCTCAGCTCATATTTCTATAGCAATTTAAGAGATATCAAAACCTTTTCTTCATAATAGCCCTTTAAGATTGGTAGTTCAGGGGGGCAGCAAGGTGGCGTAGTGAATAGAGTATCGGCCCTGAAGTCAGGAGGACCTGAGTTCAAATCCAGCTTCAGACCAAAAACCTGACACTTACTAGCTGTGTGACCCTGGGCAAGTCACTTAACCCCAACTGCCTTAAAAAAAAAAAAAAAGATTGGTAGTGCAAAGTATTATTCCCATTTTGAAGACAGACACTGAAGCTCAAAGAATTTAGATGACTTCCCCAGTGTGACATAGACAATTAGGTGTGAAAGCCAAGACCAGAACTCGAACTTTTAAATTATAATGCTATTTCCACACATTGTTCTGACTCTAAGATTATGCTATAAATACTGCTACTGATATTATGGCCACAGAGAATTTCTAAGATTAATAATGCTAATCTGAATAGGAACCATAAATCAGACTCTTGATTAAAATAAAAATCATTTATAGGGATATTTTTAACCAAACATTAGACAGCTATTAGAAATAAAAAAAAAAATTGTAAGATACCTTAAGAGATGCTTATTATCTATAAGCACTTTCAGATAATCTGCCAATTTCTTTTGCATGAGTGCAAGGTAAAGCCAAGCCCTTCCTCTTCCTACTGCCGTCCTAAAATCAAAACAGAAGCATCAAAACACCAGCAAAAAAACCCCCAAAAACCAAAAACCAAAAGACCCCAAAGTAATTTTATTCGTGTTTAAGAAACACAATTTAAATAAAAATGTTCCAATGTATACACAATTTTCTCTAAGACCTTGAAAAAATTATGTCAGATTCAAATAAAAGGATACAAACATTCTCACAAAATATAAATAAGTAGATGCCTTGAATTTAATCATGGGGCAACAGTTTTATGGCTTGAAAAAAATGGGTAGTAAATAGCTACTTAAAAAGAGGACATCATGAAACAACATGGGAGAAAAACAACAGAAACAAAACCCTTCTAATGCAGATTTTAAAAAGTTTATCCTAAATGATTATTTTTTACAAAATTGGGATTAATATTTAACCCAATTTAGTCAACAAGAACATTGGTAACTATAGCAGTAACATAAAACAAAGGAAAAGGAGAAAAAGCTCAATCTAGTTTTAAGATGGATGCAGACCAGACCAGTGCATAAAATCTGCCTGGCAAGTTCCAGTTTGATGCCAAACTGTTTGACAGCAAAATAATTTGGCTGAAATGCCACGAGCAAATGGAATCAGCATAGGACTATGTATACAGTATACAGCTTCTAGGACTTCTGTCAAAATTTAGGGAGAATTTTTAAAAGCAATAAAATTGCTATACCATCTTAAAGCAAAAAAACCTCCCCAATACTGTTTCTTAAGAAAACATGTATAACAAGGTGACTGGTAACATTTTCTTTAAAATGATTGGAATTTTGCTAACTTGATTTCTCAGGCACCTTGTACTTATAGGATTACACCAAATTTCAATGACTTGTTTTCCATTTTATTGTGGAAATGCACAATAATATATCTGAGTTCCATCAGACACAACAACTAGCATTAGCATGTAAATCTGAACTTCATCAACACATATACTCTATATATTTTAGAGTCTAAAATTAGGCCCCTGTCCTTGAATCACAGCTCAAGAACTGAAAGGTCAGAATATATCTAATTCAACCCCTTTGTTTTCAGGAGTAACCTGAAGCCCAAGGTAGTAAGCATCAGAGGAAGGAACTGAACCCAGGCCCTCTGACTCCGGAGCCAGGGCTGTCCACTGTGCCATATTTCAGCCTACCCTCAGCAATCTACTAATTTATAAAATGGAACTAATACATGCAAAAACATCTTTTCCTAAGATTTCAGAGGATGATGAAATAACATGACAGTGCAGTGTGAACACCTATACTGGCAAGAAACAGAAGGGCAATTGGAGATTATCTAGGCTAACCCACTCATCTGACACAGATGAGGAAACAGAGACCCAGAGTGTTCACAGATAAAAAGTATCCATCTGTCTCAACTCTTTTGAGTGCAGCCTAAATATAGTGACTGTCCTAGTAAATGTATTATGTTTAGCTGAATAATGTTTATGTGCATTAGGAAGAACTTGCAGAAAGAGTTAAATTACTTAGAGGACTGAAATTGTTTTTTTGAACCAAGAATTTGTGTAACTACTTCCCACTCACTTTAACTCTGGCAGATTTTTAACACTAGTAGCTATATCTGATGCTTCCGGACAAAGTTTCTCCACCAATTCCAGGGGACCAAAGAAAGACTTATTTTGGCCAATAAAACTCTTCTTAACTATAAGGGAAAACACAAAATTTTGTTAATAGGGTAAATATTCCTTAAGCCACAAAACAAAACTACAACCCAAAATGGTACTTTATCTGGTACTAATGGTACTATTTCATAAACCCCTGACTCTCCTGAGTTCTGAAAAACCTTAAGAGATCACCTAGTCACCTGGTGTGATAGTGCACACCTATGATTGATAGAGGTTGAAGCTGCTGATGGATCAACTGAGCTGGGAGTTCTGAGCTTCAGTAGACTAAGCCAATCCATCGTGTATCCTCTAGGGCGGGCATCAATATGGTGAGACTCCCTGGATGGGGACAGGGCATCAAGATGCCTGAGAAGTGAACTAGCTCAGGTTGGAAATTGAGTAGGTCAAACAGTAACAGGCTCAGACCTGTGGGTGGCTGATGCATCTCCAACCTGGCTGATACTGGGAGACTCAATCTCAAAAAAAATAAAATCACCCAGTCCAGCCTCCTTATTTTGCAAATGAGAAAACTGAGATCCAGAGGAAGGAGATAACAGCACCCAAAGTCATACTGTGACTTAATAGAAGGGAGAGGACTAGAAGCCAGGTCTTCCTGCTACCTACTTTAGTGGTCTTTCCATTATACAACTCTACCTTCTGCAGCTGATATGATTTTTGGGTTGGTTTGTTTGTGTAAGGGGCAATATGTTGTAAGTAGAAAAATAAAACCCACAAAACAACTAGAGCAGCTAAGGGATTCCCAGGCTAATTACTCATATATACAAATATCTACCGAATGTCCTTTTGAAAAGATAGGTACTACAGTTAAACTATTTTTAGAAGAAAACCCTTCCTTTTAATCCTTTCTATCAACATAATTCACCTCTTCAAATCATTCTCCTAAATACTTCAGCCCAAATTCTTATATTCTACAATACAAGGATGCTCACCTTTCAGGCCATGTTTGAGACAGTGCTCCATCACCACAAAGAACTGTTGCAAAGGGGCGTAGTCTGCATCCAAGCTTCTACCTAGGCTCAGGGCTGACTGGATTAAGACTTTAATACTCAGCTTCATCATATTCATCAGGTTGGCACGTTCTTCCATCATTTGGCATTTAGCAGCTGTTGATGAAAAGAAGCGATTCCTTGCTTAGTTTAAGTAGCAAAAAATGAGTTCACCTGGTGGTAAGCAAAACCTAGTTCCATGGACAGCAGGAGTTTGTCTGCATTATATACTTTGCGATTTTAACATTTACTATGCACATTAAGGACCGGATGGAGCCTGATAGACAATATATTTGCTGAAAAATTATAAGAACGCTGGTCTAATTTTACTTTTCCAGTCATATCTTCCATGGAACCTTCCCATCTCCCCCTACGCCTATTTCCAATGTTTCTCAGTTTAGAAGACTGCCAAAGAATTCATCCCCTAAAAACCAAAGATCAGAATAAAAGACTTCTTGTACTCAGCTGGGCTGACCCCTGGGCCCAGTCATCATCATCCCAAGCCCATTTTCAAGCTTGCTACAGACTCCAGAGACACAACCTGGAGACCGCCCCCCATATCTACCTATGGAAAGAAACCGTGTAACAAAGACTACGGGTAACAGTAATAAAATCAGATCGCACCCACAAAGTGCTTTTTTTTTTTTTTTTAATAACAGTTTGACAAGCCTTTTCCTCGCTATGCCTCCAGGGAACTAAGGTCATACCCCATCCTAGGATTTTAAGCGTTGTCAAGAGGCCTTGGAGGTCAGGGAGTCCAACCCCTTCATTTTACAAAGGAGGATACCAAGGCCCGGAGATGGGGCGGGGGATGATGTGCCCAAGGCCCCGCTCGGGCGCCCGCTTCTCTCCCGGGCCCTCGGGCTTCCATACTCGCAGCCCAAAGGGGTCGGCCTCTCCTTGGGCCCGGCCGCCTCCTGCCGGGTTCTTCTAAGCTCTCTGGCCCGCGCCCACCCCACTCCCTGGGCTTCCCGCCCGCCAGGCGCGCTGCACAGGCCCAGAGCACAGGGTCTGGACAACGGCCCCACCACTGGACCCCAAAGGCGAGGGGGGGGGCAGGGGCGTGGGAAGGATAGTCAGTTACCCCGGGGGCTTCTCCCGGGCGGTCAGAGAACGTTGCCTAGGAGACAGCCTCACGCTTTCCAAGGACTTCTCGGGATTGGATGTCCAGCCCAGCGGCCTTACCGTCTTGACCAATGAAAACACAAAGATTCGCGCACGACGCGCACGACGGTCCAATCCAAGGGCCGGGGAGGGACATCATCCCACCTCCAATTCCTGGGGCTAGACGGCCGACAGATGCAAATACGAGGACGACGCCCTTGTAGCTGCAGGAAACCCCCGCGTGTCTCGCGAGACAAAGTCAGGAAGGCGCCATTTTACATTCTCCTCCGACTTTAGTCTTGACATGGTGCCTTCCCGCGCTGAGGGGGCCCGGGCGCTTCAGAAAGGGGCGGGGCGGGGCGGCCATTGCGTTCCTGGGTATCGGGGCTGAGGGACAGATTCCGGTCCCTCGATCAGGCCGGCAGTGTCGCGGCGCTGGCTCACCTCCCTGTAAGCCTGACCTCGGTGTCACCGAAAGGAAGCCCGGGCTTGGAGGCTTCGTCAAGGCCTAGTGACCAGGGGCCGACCTGCCGGGCGCCACCCCGGCCGTGACCTTTCCCCCCACCTCGGGGCTCCTCTTCTGACAGCCTCGAGTTAGCTAGGAACCCCCCAGACTCCACTCTTACTGTCTCAGCCCAGGCGGAGCACACAGCAGGCGCTCAATAAGTGTTAAATGAAATTGATACTTCCCTCATTCCTCTCCTACAAGATGGAGGAGGCACTGCAGTGTAGCCCTGACTGAAGACAGAGGACCTGGGTGCAAATAAGACTCTTTCCAGCATGACTTTGGTCTGGTAGTTATTTACCCTCCCCAAACCTTAGTTTCCTCATTTGTTAAAAGAGCGGGGTTGGGCTGCATGGCCTCATAGGTCCTTTCCAGTTCTAGATCTGAGTCTTCTCTTTCGGACAGCCAGTCAGCTACAAGCTCAGCATTGTTTTGACAGCTTTCCCTTAGCTCAATAATATCCTGCTCCTCAGATTCTCATCTAGGGTCATAAATTTAGCACAGACGTCTTTTGGAAGGAAAGAAACAAGCATTTGCTTAATACTTACCATGATACTGATGGGGTGCTTGGGTGCCTGTGCTTGGATCCCAATTTCTCCCTAGCCTAAGAAACACTATCCCTGGCAGTTTCCCTCCAGCCCAAAGACCCTCTCTCTTACAATTACTCATGAGTGGGCCCCAGCAAGGCACTTCTGTCTCTCCCTGGTGCATTTACACAAAGCTGGGTGAGAGTGATGGGCTGCTCACAGCCCTAAGATCATGTCTCCGGCAGCCTCCCAATTTCTTAGTAAGCTTTTGTCCTATGAGAAAATTTTCTCCTGTTGCAGAGCATTCTCTAATCAGGACACAGAGAGTGGGGTGCCTGGCCCGAGGATTTTTGTCCCTGGGTGGCCCAAGGACTCTTACTCCCGCCAGATTCCCAAGATCCATGCCTCTGACATCTCCCTCTTTGTCTGGTATACTCCCTACACTTTCCCATCCATAGCTCTCAAAGACACCTGGACCTTTAGGCTACCTAATTAGTATCCCTGGCATTCCTTTCCCATGCTCTTTTCCATATAAACTCCAGCACCATCCTCAGTCTCTCACAGGTTCCTTAAGAATCCTTGCCCACTGAAAAGCATAACAATAAATCTTTGCCAACTTGACTCAAAGAATTCTTGAGTCTGTGAATTCATTTCAGATGACCCAGTCCTGTACTCTGGTCTTTGAGGGGTCTCACCCTCTCAGACATTTCCACTAACTGAAGGGCCACATGTGGTCCCAATTCCTTGTATGATTCAGCTCCTCTCCTCACATTGATAGAACAGCTACATGGATGTTTCAATTAAATTGCTCGATCATCTTGATCTGGCAAGAGATTGTATTAAATAGGGAAGGTGAATAGAGAAAGGAATAAGTATATAGCACCTACTCTGTGCCAGGCACTGTGCAAATCACTTTAAATAGTATAGTGCAAGGGCTGGATGAAGAGAGATACTTGATAGGAGCACTCGGGTTGGAATCTCAATTGAATAATTGTAAACAGCAAGTCACTTTACCTTTAGTCTGAGTTTTCTCATTCTTAAAATGATGGCTATGATTAGATATTCTTTAAGGTCTCTGCCACTTCTATTATTTTAAGATTCTTTTAGCATGATTAAGAGACTAGGTTTTTGTGACAGTGATTTCTGAAGCTTCTACCTTAGCCTGGTATTAAAGGGCTATTAGAGGTAGTTGTACAACCGCAGTTTGAACTGTGTCCTTACTGCTCAACAGTCAGCATCTTTTATGGGGAAGATGGAATACATTGTATGGGGTATGGTAAGTAGGACAATTAGGCTGGAATGTAGAATGCAAGAGGGCCATATAGACAAGACTTATGATTTCAATAACAGTGAACTCCCAGGTAAGAAAATATTATTTATAAATTGCCCAAATTAACAGAAGAGGAAGTAAAACACTTAAATAACCCCATCTCAGAAAAAGAAATTGAACAAGCTATTGATGAATTCCGTAGGAAAAAATCTTCAGGGCCAGAAGGATTTACAAGCAAATTCTATCAAACATTTAAAGAACAATTCCAATATTATATAGACTATTTTGGAAAATAGGTGAAGAAGGAATCTTATCAAATTTTTTTTATGATACAAATATGGTGCTGATACTTAAACTAGAAAGTCAAAATGGAGAATGAAAATTTTAGGCCAATTTCCCTAATGAATATAGTGCAAAAATTTTAAATAAAATATTAACAAACAGATTACAGCAACATATCACACGAATAATATACTATGACCAGGTAGGATTTATACCGGGAATGCAGGCCTGGTTCAATAGTAGCAAAACTATCAGCATAATTGATCATATTAACAACAAAACTAACAGAAACCACATGATCATCTCAATAGATACAGAAAAAGCTTTTGACAAAATACAACACTCATTCCTATTAAAAACACTAGAGAGCATAAGAATAAATGGAGTCTTCCTTAAAATAATAAGTAGCATCTACCTAAAACCTTCAGCAAGCATCGTATGTAATCGGGACAAGTGAGAAGCATTTCCAGTAAGAATGGGAGTGAAACAAGGATGTCCATTATCACCACTGTTGTTCAATATCGTACTGGAAACGTAAGCTTTAGCAGTAAGAGAAGAAAAAGAAATTGAAGGTATTAGAATAGGCAAAAAAGAAACATACCTGTCACTCTTTGCAGATGACATGATGATATACTTAGAGAATCCTAGAGAATCAAGTAAAA